AGTTATTGCGAGGCATAGGGCCTCGACATGCTCTACAGGGCCTATTTTTTTACACTGTCGGCCGCCCTAAGTGAAGGCAGGCACGACTGAGGCCCTACAGGCCATAATTGGGGGCACCACGCAACTGAGGAAATTCAGGCAGTTGCGCAGCCCCGGTTGGTTGGAAGCGCCCAGGCCCAGGCTGCCTTCCATTGCATGTAACTGAGGCAGGCCCTGGGCCAGATACACAAAATGGACCGAACAAAGGCTGAGGGCAGTTGGGTGCTGGTAACCGACACAGGCCCTGGGCCTGTTACTTCGGACTGAGGCTCAGCCTCGTGGGGCCTACCGGAAGCTTCTGATACAGGGCCCAGTACCTCACGAATGCACGCAGCAGCAGGCCACTTCGATATAGGGAAGGGCCTGCCTCCGCTTTGGACATTCGGGCACTGGCTGCTTTGTGCGCAAGCGCTGCTGCGCTATCGCCTGCCAGGCTCACGCGCTCACGGGCGAGCTGAAAGGAGCAGGCAGCCATAGCCGAGCTGCGCTGCTGTATGCTGGATGGGACGCATGGTGGTCCTTGGGTACAAGTGGCATCTGTGAGTTGGGGAACGAGGTTGTGAGTGATACGAGAGACATACCTGGTGCTTGAAGCATGCGGAATTGGCCGAGATCTGCTCGTACTTCGGGGAGCTGTTGACGTCATCAGCGGCATTGTAGAGTAGGCTAGATAGGATCTGCCATCTGTAGTCTGGGCGCCGAGTGCCAGATAGGACATCAACATTGGTTCTTCGTTGATGATGATGATGATGAGACTATTCCAGCATTGTCAATTATGAGCTTTTGGTGTGCTCTTATTTGGTGAAACTCGTGATGCAATTCTGCTGTTGGTTCGAGGTCACGACTATCTGGTCTCATGTGTATGATGCTGTTTGATTGCTGAAGTTCGCTATTGCTCATCTTCCTTGCAATTTGGTATCGGAGCTGTGGTACGGTGCGCTAATCTGGCGCTTGTCTTCTGCCTAATGTGGTACATGCACGTGGTGTGTGCGGTGAGCGACTGTGCCATGGTAAGTGTGTAGTGAGGAGGGCGAAGGCAAGTGAGGCGACCCAAGTGGAGAGGGGTTCGCTAGGAAGGCTATGCGGTGTAATGTGGGTTCTAGACGGTGTGATGAGAACTATCTGATGTGCGATTGGTGCTGAGGTGGAACGACGTGTAATGCTGGTTGTGCCGAAGCAATGACTGGTCATCACAATCGGTGTCAGGTCATCTGGTGAGATTATCTCTGTGGTTGGGGGCATCTATTTGAGATACGTTGCTCTTAACCTTATCTACCCTCTTCGACACCTCTTACCGTGAGGATGCGTGTTCCATCTTGAAAGTCCTCTCATTGTGAGGAGTCGAGTGTGCTCAACCTTGAGAGTCGGTAATGTTCACGCTGAGCATCTGGGGGAAGATGGGCGGAGCTTTCTAAAGGGCCCTGGACGAAGCATGGGTCACGGTCACCATGCCAACCCACCGGGAGTAGAGCACGCATGCTTTGCTGCTTGTCCTTCGTTCGGCTCGCTGCACTACTAGATGGGTTCTGAGGGGCAGGCCAGCCGTATGTGGGAGACGAGAACCGGGCGTCTATAAATAAACACCGGCATGGGAAACCATTGGTTGTGATCGTCGTCCTGTTTGCGACGTTAAATAATTCCTGAGGACACTTGGGGGCGGTCTTTAAATAGCCTCTTGATCAGCCAATCGGTGTAAGGCTCGCTGCACGCGAGGATAAAAAAATGTGCTAGAGCTGGCCAGCTCAGCAGGACTCGGGGCACAAGGGTGGGTCGATTGCACACCTTTAGACATGCATTGTTCTCTGGATGGCTCGGGGAGGCTGACGTCAAGCGACATTCAAGAGGAACTGAGGGAGGGGTAGATTTCAGGTGATAAGTTCGGGAAAAATTCCATACTGTCCCTATCCACACAAATGATCCTATTTTTATTTTCATTAGTTAGATGTACAACCATTGACATCTGACAGACAACATTAGTTAGAACTGCTTTCTGTTCCTTGTGCTTCTGTTTGCGGACTAGTCAAAGTAAAATAGATTTTGTTTGTAGGAATCTAAACTTACCTGTTGAACCCAAACGTATCTACTATGACGTAGCCACCAATTAATTATTTATTTATTTTTAGTTGGTCTGTGCACTATGCTGCGGTAGACATCTAGAGTGTTCTAGTGCAGATTGTGTATAGTGCTGTAGCTTATGAGTGACAGGGAGGTTCCACAACCGGACGACCGGATCTTGCGATCGGCGAGACACCCGATAGCCCACTTGGCCTTAGGACCAGAGGGTGACAGATTTTTGTTCCGCCAGCTTAGGGAGAGGCAGCAGCAGCAAAGGAGAGCTACGGCAGCAGAGGCCAGCAGAGTGTTCGCAAGCGAAGCCGCTGTTTCATCAACCATGGCAACTGCTGCGCAGCAGAGTTCCCAAGCCGGTAGTTAAGAGTCTGTAGGGTCAACGGTTGCACAGACTCTGAGTCAGTCCACTGGCGTCATGGCGAGCCAGCTGTTAGTGATGACTCCCGAGGAGGTTGCCAAACAGCCAGCTGTTGATCGCGAGGCACAGCTACAGCAGGCTTTAAGAGAGATTAAGGTAGAAAAAGAAAGGATGATTAGAAGAAGAGCCAAAATGCAGCGGAGGCAAGCGGACATCAGTGAGTTAGAGGAGATGGACCCTGCATAAATGGAGGATGATGTGAGGACCATACGGTCGGTCTTGCAAAGTGTAGTAGAGATGCAAGATCACCAGATGGAGATCTTACAGGACATCCAACAGAGTCTGGTTGTGTTAGTCGGGCGAGTGCAGGCGGCACCATCGCCGTTCGGGCCCGGTGCCTGGCCCGTTGTACATCCTCCTCCTTTTGTCCCATCGGTGATTGGGGTATCCCCATATACATCCCCAACATCGGTCCAGCCCGTTTCCCTAGGTATACCTTTGACAGGCGGGTTCTCAGCAGGTCCTAGTTTGCAGGTTTTTGTACAGACAGTGTTCTCCCAACCTCCGTTTCAGGTTGCCGTTAGCGAGCAGCCTGCTGGCTCGCAGCCTGCACAACCGCAGGGTACACAGCCCCAGCAGTCAGTGCAGCAGCCTGCACCACAGGGTCCACAGCCCGGAGTGATGCAAGGACCGGGACAAAGTCAGTGGGTACCAAAGACGGCCATCGCCGCTCCGAAACCCTTTACAGGGGATATAAGAGGAGCGAAGACCTCGACACTTGGTTGAGGGCAGTGCCAGTCTACGTCAAGTGCAAACTTACCTTGCCACACGAGGAAGTGCTTGTGGCTGCCTCCTACCTAGAGGGTAGTGCAGGAAGATGGTTGAGTGGTTTAGTGCAGTTGCAGGGGTACGGTCATGACTTCCACGCTTGGGAAGCCCACCCGAAACTGGAGGACTTTCTCAATATGGTGGAAGATAGGTGGCATGATCCTCAGGAAGCCAAAAAGGCCACTGACGCGATCCTGACGCTGCATACAAGGCAGTTCAAGTCAGTAAGGGAAGCCACTGACGCAGTAGAGCGTCTGATCTGTGTCCCTGGGGTGCGCTATGACCCCAGGTATTACTCACCTCCTACCTAAGATGCTTTCCCATGCCTCTCAGGAACCAGTTGGCAGGTGAGGCCAACATCAATATGCACAACTTTCCCTCGTCTAGCAAGAAGGCCGTAGACCTTGAGGCAAAGATAGGGCATGGACAGACACCCACGACGGATGGTAGGAAAAAGTCACTGCCTCCCAACTGGAAGGCGAAGGGTCGCATTATGTTTGTCGATAACGATGGTTCAGTAGTCGTTGTCGTAGCACAGAAAGGTAAGGCGACCGGTAGACACCGAGGAGGTTCCCGGTCAAGGAGTCAAGTTGACCCCAATGCTGCTCCATGGGAGAAAGCGGGTTTCAGTGAGGACGTGTGGAGAGACAGGTACACCAGGCAGGCCTGTATTCGTTGTGGTCAATATGCCCATAACCAATTCAAGTGTCACAACAAGAAGGTGACCGAGAAGATCTCGCCTACGATGGGGCAGGCGTTGGGATCCTCCACTCCCGTTGGTAGCAATGTAGCGAGCAGTTCCGACACTGCTCCAAGAAACACGTCGAGCCAGTAGGAATAGTAGCTGTTCCTGCTAAGGTCAAGGTGGTGGACACACCCTCACCATCTCCAGAGATGGCGCAAGCTACTGACTCCATCGCCGTCCCGCAAACAGGTTCAGACCCATCGAGCCTCTGTTCGATGAATGTGTTTGAATCCTTAGAGGAGCTAGAGGAGTGGTGGTCTAGATCAGACCCGCTAGCTTCTTGGACGACATTGGCAAAAGCCTTTAAGGGTGAGATGTTCGTCAGCAAGGTGGTCATTGGTGGCCGCAAGGCCGGTGCCTATTATGACACTTGCTCGACCAGGAACTTTATTAGTCGCGTGTGCGTTGAGAGGCTGCGCTTACAGGGGCAAGTGCAGCGCCTGAGTCGACCTGTGCCAACAAACAGCGCATGGTAGTTAATGACTACCTTTAGAACGTTGAGTGTTGTTTCCCGTGCGAGGGAAGGGAACTGAGACATTTTTCGTTCCTAGTGAGCGATGATCTCCCCATGGACTGTCTCTGCTATAGGCGAGCCGGTGAAAACGCCGCCAGAGGTAGAGGGAGTAGTTGCTAAATACCCTGATCTATTTGAAGAGTCGACATGGGTTGTTGAGAGGGAGGTCGTCCACGCGATAGAGATTATCCCAAGGTCTAGCATCCCAAAGGGTAGGATTTCTATCAGATGTCTCCAAGCGAGCTTGATGAGCTTCGCCAGCAACTCAAGGAACTCATAGAGAAGGGGTGGATCCGGCCAAGTGTCTCTCTTTATGGTTCTCCAGTCTTATTCGTACCAAAGAAGGGGGGCACTTTGAGGATGTGCATTGACTATAGGGGCCTCAATGCCATCACTGTCAAGAACCGAGAGCCCCTACCGCGCATCGACGATTTGCTAGATAGAGTGCAAGGGTGTCGGTACTTCAGTAAGATAGATCTGAAGTCCGGGTACCATCAGATTGCAATCCGGCCCGAGGATCAACACAAAAACGCTTTTCAGACCAGATACGGTCTGTACGAGTTTGTGGTGATGCCTTTCGGCCTTTGCAATGCTCCTGGCACCTTTCAACACGCTATGAATCGGATCTTTCCTGACCACTTGGACAAGTTTGTCGTCGTGTACCTCGATGACGTACTTATCTTTAGGAGGACTGTCGAGGAGCATGTGGCTCATTTGGACAAAGTCCTTAGTCTCCTTAGAAAACACAATCTTGGACAAAGTCCTTAGTCTCCTTAGACAACACAAGTTCAAGATTAACGTTGAGAAGTGCGAGTTTGGCCGCACCCGTATCTTGTACTTGGGTCATGAGATTTCTGCGGAGGGATTGAAGCCCGATGACGCGAAGGTGGCCAGCATTCGTGACTGGCCGCGTCCTCAGTCTGTGACTGAGATGAGGTCCTTCCTAAGGATGACCGACTATTATCGCAATTTTGTGAAGAACTATAGCATAGTTGCCACCCCTTTGACGGACATGACCCGCCTTGACACCCGCCCTGACACCCCATGGGAGTGGACAGACAGGTGCGAGGTTGCTTTCAGACAACTGAAGCATGCGTTGATGCATCATGAGGTCTTGAAACTTCCTGATCCTGACAAGCCATTTATAGTAACCACGGATGCTAGCCAGTATGGCATAGACGCTGTGATTGCGCAGCAGGAGGGGCCAAAGTTGAGGCCTGTCGAGTACATGTCCAAAAAGATGCCCTCTCAGAAGTTGGCTAAGTCCACCTATGAGAAGGAGCTCTATGCGATCTACAAGGCGCTCACCCATTGGAGGCACTATCTCCCTGGGAGGTTCTTGTACGTCAGGACTGATCACCAGACCCTGAAGTGGTTGAGAACCCAGCCTGTGCTCTCTGACACTCTGATGCGTTGGATTGAAGTCATAGAGCAGTATGACTTCGAGCCCCAGTATATCAAGGGTGAGTATAACAAGGTTGCTGATGCGTTGTCCCGTAGACCTGATTTCTCCGGTGGGCTGATTATTGAGTTTGGACTTGCGGACGATGTCACTCGCTTCATGGTGGAAGCCTATCGCGAGGATCCATTCATGTCTGAGATCATCCGCAGACTTGAGGCGAAGGACAAAGTGACTTCTATCGAGTTTGAGTTGGTCAACGGCTTGCTGTTCCTTGAGAAGGCTGTGAATAAACGTTTGTGTGTGCCTAATAGAGAGTCTTTGCGCAGTTTATTTCTAGGAGAGTGTCACGACGCCACCGACCATTTTGGTTTCAAGAAGATTGCAGCCAATTTGTTGCTGGTGGCCCACGATGATGAGAGATGCCAAGCTGTACGTGGAGACTTGTTAGGTCTGTCAGAGAGACAAGCCTCGTACACAGGCCCCTCTTGGGCTCCTCAAGCCCCTTCCGATTCCGGAAAGGCCTGGTGAGAGCTTGTCCATGGACTTCATGGACACACTGGTCACTAGCAAGAGTGGAATGCAACACATCTTTGTCATTGTGGATAGGTTTAGTAAGTATGCTAGGTTAGTTGCAATGCCGGAAACAGCAAAGACTGAGTACGTCATTAAGTTGTTTCAAGAAAACTGGGTCAGAGATTTCGGACTGCCTAAGTCTATCATTAGTGACCGGGATGTGCGATTCACCAGTGAACTATGGAAAGCCGCAGCTGCAGAACAGGGCACTCAGTTGCAAATGACATCAGGCAATCACCCAGAGGTGAATGGGCAGGCAGGACAATTGAACCGCGTTGTACAACACCTGCTGAGGCACTACATCAAGCCAAATCAGGTAGACTGGGATGAGAAACTTGCTCTCATCGCCAGCTTGTACAACAATGATGTGCACAGCGCTACAGGAGTGAACCCGAACAGTCTGCTACTAACCTTCAAGCCTAGACTGCCCTTGGATTTCTTATTACCTGAGAACCAGTCCGCTGCTGCACCAGGAACCTTAGAGTTTGCTTATCAATATGAGCAATTGATGCAGCATGCGGTTGAACAGATGCACAAGGCACAGGCGGCGATGATAGAAACTGAGAACAAACACCGCCGCCCATCTACATTCCAGGTAGGAGAAACAGTTTGGGTTAAGTCCTCAGAACTGGGACAAGAGTACGGGATCTCCCGTAAGCTCATGCCACAGTACTTGGACAATGGGAGGTTCTGGATGTCGTTGGGGAAGATCCGGATGGGCCATCTTATGTTATCCGGATTTCTGGTCATCTTCGCACTTACCCTGTCTTTCACGTCTCCAAGCTTGCACCGTTCAAAGAAACTGATCATCTTCCCGCTCGTCGCTCAATGCTGCCCCCAACCATGGATGGAGAGGTCGATATCGATGACATCGTTGACCATAAGGAAATGCCAGTTCCAAGACCGACAGGCAGGGGACGTCCTCCGAAACTGAAGCTGCAATACCGGGTTCGGTTCAGACATCACACTGATCCAAAGGAGGATCGATGGTTTACCAGGGAGGAACTGATGCAGACCGCTCCTCAGGTTCTAGCCCAATATGAAAAGTCTCTGCAGAAGGGAAAGCGCCAGATTATCGAAGATTGAACTTCTCAGAGGACTATCGAAGTATGGAGGAGGGAATGCGAGGCAAAGGGCCTCGACATGCTCTACATGGCCTATTTTTTTACACTGTCGGCCACCCTAAGTGAAGGCAGGCACGACTGAGGCCCTACAGGCCATAATTGGGGGCACCACGCAACTGAGGAAATTCAGGCAGTTGCGCAGTGCCAGTTGGTTGGAAGCGCCCAGGCCCAGGCTGCCTTCCATTGCATGTAACCGAGGCAGGCCCTGGGCCGGATACACAAAATGGACCGAACAAAGGCTGAGGGCAACTGTGCTGGTAACTGACACAGGCCCTAGGCCTGTTACTTCGGACCATACTTGCAACCGCACGAGCCGCACCCGCACAGACCGGATCCGTGCGGAGATCCGTACGGGGGGTGCTCGATCTCCGCACATTCCACACCTGCACAGACCGGATCCGTGCGGAGATCCGTGCGGGGGGTGGCCGTGCGGATTTTTTTTTTTTTTTTTTTTAAGGGGGGTCTGAGGGCTCCGAGAGGTGTTACCTGCACAACTTTTAAGGGGGGTCTGAGGGGTCCGAGAGGTGTTACCTCGTCCTCATCATCAAAAGATTCAGAACCTCCGTCCTGTTCCCCGTCATCACCATCACCATCATCATCACCATCACGATCATCATCACCATCACGATCATCATCACCATCGGCATTATCATCACCGTTATCATCATCAGAGGATGACGACAATGAAGCCGAACACGGTACGCTTCCCGCCACCGTCCCCCTCGCCAGGACGTGCTCGCCGATGCTGCCTCCTGCTTCCACCTTCTTCCCTGCCATCCACCCATGCCCCCGTCTCCCTGGCCCGCAGCGCAATGGGAACGACACAAAAAAGATTAGCACGACCTCTGCGCAAGGATGATACGCAGAAATCGAGAAAAGGTCAAAAAAAAAAAGAACTCGACATATTCGACACCTATGGGAGAAGAGGAGGAGGAGGAGAAGGAGGAGGAGGAGGAGGAGGAGGAGGACGACGAGAACGGAGGACGAGGAGGAGAGATGGAGGATGAGGAAGGGGAGGATTAGGACGAGCGGGAGGAGAGGAGGAGGAGGAGGAGGAGGAGGGGAGGAGGACGACCTGGAGGAGGAGACGAAACGCAGGGATGGGAACGATACAGAGAAGATTAGCACGACCTCTGCGCAAGGATGATACGCACAAATCGAGAAAAGGTCAAAAAAAAAAAAACTCGACATATTCGACACCTGTGGGAGAAGAGGAGGTGGAGGAGGAGGAGGAGGAGGAGGAGGAGGAGGAGGAGAACGGAGGACGAGGAGGAGAGATGGAGGATGAGGAAGGGGAGGAGTAGGACGAGTGGGAGGAGGAGGAGGAGGAGGAGGAGGAGGAGGGGAGGAGGACGACCTGGAGGAGGAGACGAAACGGAGGGATGGGAACGATACAGAGAAGATTAGCACAACCTCTGCGCAAGGATGATACGCACAAATCGAGAAAAGGTCAAAAAAAAAAAAAAAATCGACATATTCAACACCTGTGGGAGAAGAGGAGGAGGAGGAGAAGGAGGAGGAG